AAAAAATAACTTCAACTAGGCAAATACCATTTAACAGATATTCTTAATCTTTATAAAAAGTTTCAGAGTTTGATTGAGTCCAAAAAAGTATTTTTTTTGTTTGACTATCTGAAAATTAATTTTAATTGCACACAAAAATCAAGAATATTTGAAAGACCAATTTGCAATTTTCAGAATTGAAGTCGGGTCTCGCGTGCATCCTCATATGCATGACCAATTTATAATCTACTAAATTGAATCTCGAATAATCAACTTCCGAAAGAAAATAATTTTGGGACCAACTTACAACTTTTCAAATTTGTATTGAATAAACAACATTCAAAAATAGTTTTGGACCAACATGCAATTTTTCAAATTCCATTCGAAAACATTCAAAAGTGTGGGACTAACATGCAATTTCTCAAATTGCATTTGGAATATTCAACATTCAAAAAGTGTGGGACCAACATGAAATCTCTCAAATTGCATCCACAATAAATGAGGGACCAATATCCAATTTCCAAAATTTGAATCCGACTCCATGGCAATAGAAATTTTTTTTGGTTACTGTTCATCATCTTTAAAAAAAATGGCAGTTTTCTCAAATTTTTCTCAAAACTTTAAAAGGTTATAACTTCCTCAATTTAAATCCAAAATTTACGCTCTTTATACCATTGGAAAGATCTCGAGAAGATCTATTCGACCATATCAAATGATAATCATAAAACACAATGTGGAAGAAGTTATCATCTGATGAATTTTCAAATTTTATCAATTTTTCATGCAAAAATCAGATTTATATATAGACTTCGGGAGGTCATAACTTCTTCATTCCAAGCCCAAATTTATTTTCTTTATATCATTGGAAAGGTATTGAGAAGATCTATCCAACCATACCAAATGGACAGTAATGAAACTTAATGTATAAAAAGTTATCACGTGATGAAGTTTCGGGTTTTATCAAGTTCTATGCAAAAAATTCAGATTATCGTCCAAATTTCAAAACCTCATACCTTCTTTGTTTCAAGTCCAAAATTTGAGTTCTTTATATGGTTATATGATTAGAAAGCTTATGAGAAGACTTTTCTAACCACACTAATCTTACTACATGAAGATGGATGAATAGATGGCAGTAAATTATCAAATGATGCCACTAAATACCACATAAGGTTTCAAAACTTTGCATACAAGATTCATAACCCAATTATATTATGTGATGGCATAATTAAGCATGAATTATAGCAAGGAATCCAACCTTATGGCTCTAATACCAATGTAGGAAAATCGTAGTATGCTTTGACATGAATTTGGGTCAACAAACTTACTTGAAATGATGAATTTCAAGATCTTTGTATGGTTGAACACCTTGCCTTCAAATCTTCCAAATTTGCATTTTCTTGTACTCCGATGGTCCAAGTCCCGATCACAATGGAAGGACATTATTATCCACAATCTAAGTGCCATTTCTTGTGAGATTTTATGCCAAAAATGTGATTCTAGGGACTTTTCAATCTTATGGTGAATTTACATATGAAATTTTTTTTATCATGCCACTTTTTTTTTTGTTCCTTTTTCCATAACTTCTATATAGAAGTTTCAAGTGGTTACTTGGAAGTTATAGGTTTGAATTCTAAATTCAAACCACTCCCTCCAACCCTTTTAAAATCCTGAGGGTCGGGTCACCCCACATGGGCGACCCATTATCCGTATTTTCCAACATGCTGTTTATTGTGATCGCAATTATGAGTTCAACAATCTTATTGTTAAATTGAAGAGCTCATATTAAATTGCTTGTTAGAAAAATACTCATGCTAATGACATTCCTCTGAAAAAAGGTGACAAATTCCACCTTACGAAAATATATTCTCTAACTAATTCATTCCAACTTTTAAAGTAGAGGCATTGAATATAATTAATCTCACTTATCGTTGCCTCAAAGAATTTGAATTAATAATTAAAGTTTATAATCCGTTCAGAATTCAAACGTATGTTTGATTATCGATAACATTTAATTATGTACAGTCTTCACAATAGTAAATGTTACTTGGTCATCTCTAATAAAGTTTATTGTTATTATCTTTATTATCAAAGTCTAGATAAACTTTAATAAATATAATATGGACTTATAAGAATAAAGTGTCCGACATTATTAACTAATCGCGGACAATTAATTTCGATCATTTTATAAACTGAATCTATCTATACAACATAAGTACTTAATTGATTATAATATACATTTTCAAGGTACATTTTATTATTTGCTCAATTATTAAATATATAAGTATATATAAATATTTAAATAACATACATTAATATTTATTTGTTCAACATATAAAATCAAATAATTCATTTGGACATATGTCCCAATAGATTTGTGGCTTGATTTAATATGCTCCACCAAAGAAGTGGGTTGTACCGAGTCTCATCCTCCGTAGGCAGCCCTCATATTGACATTTTTTGTTTCTCCTTTCTTGAAAAAATAATTAGAAAATAACAAGCTTGAAAATTTCGTACAGGATGCTAATCATTTGAGTAGGGATTAGGTTAGGCATAGATTTAATCATCCAATTTTTTATATTTACCTTTTATAGTAATGTAACCAAAAGCTTATATCCACCTTGTTGATTCGTCGTGAATGTCAAAGTAGTAGTAGTAATAATGATGATGATGATGATGATGATGATGATCATAATTCTTAGAAAATTCTCAAAGACTCTTTATTATAACCAAAATCAACTAAGGTTAACTCGATCTTCTTGGCCTTAACTTAATGAATAATATCCCTCTCCCTATTAGAATAGGTATATAAGCTATGACCAATTAGGCCTTATTGTACGTCCTCTTTTCCATATATAGATTGCCTTTTGTGCTACATCTATATATTTACTTATAATCTTTTTAAGCTTAGCCAAATATTCTTTAAGCAAAACAACCTACAAAAGAAACTAGTCAAAACATGGCCTCAACTGTAGCTATAGAAGCAATGGCGGATCTAGCCTTGAGTTTGGATACGGGCTACAATACAAATATAGATGAATTTTTCTTTTAAAAAAACTAAGAAAAAAGTTGGCATTTTCAAGGGCGAACACAGGCTATAGCATGGTCGAGCTTGTGCCTAGATCCGCCAGTGCATAGAAAGATCTATTTAATAAGTAGATTAGAGCATCTCCAATTGTGATGTAAAATTGGGTGTAAATTGATATATTTAAAATCACTTTTACATCCTCATTTACATTTCGATGTATCTAAATCCACTTTTTGCTTCTCATGGATGAAAAAAGATGTAAATTTACATCTGTTTTTACATTTTCTATTGAAAAATATAATTTTCATTTCAAAAGATGGGGGCGAAATGGGGGGCTAAGAACTCTTGGGAAGTGACACATGCCTTCTTATGGGAATGCAAGAGAGTTTCACGTAGCTATTGCAGATCTTCAAGAATTGACACTTCGAGCTCTTCCGTCTCCAGTGCAGCACGTCGACTTTCCTTGATTCTCTCAGATGAAATTATCATATGTAGAGTAAGCAACAATGAGATAAGCACTAATTTAGTTGAAAAATATGTCTAAAGAGGATACCCAAGTCAAACGCTGGTCAACTCTTCTCTTTGGTAAAAGCTAACATAGCATAATAAAATAGGATAGCAGACAACGAGAACATAACTATATTGACATGTTGAACAAACATTCATCTTGGTTAAATCTAGCTAATCTATACAATCTCATCATGACATTGACATCTATCACTTAATTTTCCAGTTTATCTAGGAATTGAAAAAAAAAAAACCATAAAAGATACTGAATGCTAATAATAACTGAGGCAAGGTGATCCTATATCCCCATATTTATTTATTATCATGGAAGAGGTGTTGACTAGGCTAGTGAGAAAAAAACTCGTAGATGGTTGCAAAGGTGTTTATTCACATCCCTGAGGTGCACCTTCGGTGTCGCATTTACTATATGCTAATGATATTGTTATCTTTGCTAATGGAAGTAAAAGATCGATAAAAGCTTTAATGGAGACCTTTCAGTTATATGAAAAATGGACAAGCCATGTTATCAATAAAGAGAAGTTAGCTATTTTCTTTGCTAAACATTGTGGGGCATCTCACAAGAACGAGGTTCTTCGGTTAAGTTCTTTCAGAGAGGATTTTTCTCCAATAACTTATTTGGGGTGCCAGTGGTGGTAGAAAGATTGACTACTCATCATCTACAGCTTTTAGTGGAGAAAATTCAAAAAAAAAAAAGAAAAGAAAAGAAAAGAAAAAGACCGCAGGTTGGAAAAGGCAACTTTTATCACAAGGAGGTCGTCTTGTGTTATTGAAACATGTTTTGTCATGTATGGCAACCCATTTATTATCCATTCTAAGTGTTCCTAAATCAGTGTTTAGGACCTTAAATTCCATATTATCCTCTTTCTTTTGGGGAGAGATTAATAGAAGAAATAGGGAAAAAATGGTGCTCATGGAAGAAAATTTGTACACCACTAATGGAGGGAGGCCTTGGAATTCATAGGTTCAAAGAAATTCAAAAGTCTCTCCACATGAAATTTGCTTGGAAAGTGCTTACTGTTGATTTGTTGTGGACCCGCTTTTTCAAATCAAAGTATGCACCAAAGGGTTTGGTGGATGTAGAAAACCTGGGATAGCATCGAATAACGAAGCTGAGCTGAGAGCTATTATTGAAGGGCCTCAACTTTGCCAGGATATAAGAGTTTTTTACGTTGATACTGAATGTGATTCCAAAATTGTTGTGGAACGGATGTTGAAACGCAAGTGCACAATTTGGTATTTGTGGGACTTTTGGGAGGAGTTATTGAATTTAATGAGTTTATTTGAGATACTTGCCTATGCATGCTCGTGGCCTTGATCGGTTGGACGGCGTAGGAATGCCATACTTACGTAAGTGAGTTGATTTGTCTAGGTTTTTAGTTTGCTATTTGTAAGGCTATATTGTCACCACTGTATTCCTCCACCATAATGAGGTCTGTTTTTATTAAATTATTTGTTTAAAAAAAGTAAATAATGCTCAAGGATAATCTTTACACGACTTTATTAATGCTAAAATAGAAGTCTTCACTTACTGTGCAACCAGATATAATTGAATTATTTCCTACGGGGCTAAATGATGCTACATTGTCGAAGCCAATCGCAATTCTCCGTGCAATATATACATATGATATATATTAAGGACAAAAAAAATCAGAAGGGCAATTGAATACAAGTATACTGAATTTGCACCAGCCATTCCAAATTCTAACAACTCTTCATGGCCAGGAACGTTTGAACTAGGCAAAGCTAGTTTTTTCACTTCCCTTTTCAACTTATTTAGATCGGATTTATATTCTCTGAGCTTAGCAAGTAGTGTAGCCTCCAAGCTTGGCTGCAAGCTTCTTGCCTCAAGATCCATTTTTTGAATCTAGGAAAATACAACTCATTTGAGATTAGTACTGAGAGAAAACTTATGACAAAACAAAGGTGGGAAGCTTTGCATTACCAAAACATCAGCATCCCAAAGCTGCTTGATTTTAGAAATCTCTTGCTGATTTTTCTCTGCTGATTTTTCTCTGAAGATAATATGACACAATTATAAGAGTCCATGAAGAGTCAGTTACAAGAAGTAAAAAAAGATGATACAAAAGTGAGCAAACACCTCCAGACATATCAGTTGAGCAATTTAAGGCATTAGATGCTGATTAACAAGCATGTTGGCAATGCTTAAAAGTTCATTTTCAAGCTACTTCCCTTTTTGCAAAATATGTCCGAGATATTTAAGAATTTAAGGTTTTTAGTTCTAAAATTTATTTACTTTCAGGAAAAGTATTTTCAATTTCTTTTAGACTTAGCTGAACACTCTAAAGCATTAATTGACCCATACAGAGCAAGTTACATCTCAGTCTTTTCTTAAAAGACTGCAAAGTTTACAACTGAGATAATTAATTTCAAGTGGAATATTATTAGAATAATATCATGATGCAGCTGAACCAAATTTATGCATATCAGTAAAGAAGGTAGATGTGAATGTATAAACATAAATAAGAGTAAGCACTCAAAAGTCTCAGATTGTCTAGATGCAATATAATAAGTATGACATCAACTTTTCCTTAATTTACCATCGCAAAATGTGGATCAAAATTTCAACCGATGTGAAATTTTCGGACATAATTCAGTCAAAGAATTACAACTATCTAACAGCCAGAACCACTTATCCTAGTTCTCAATTGGATAAAACTCAGATCTATTACAAATCCTCTATGTAACTCATTAACGAAACAATCATCTGGAAAATAAAAGTTAAAAGGATAAAAAAGATTTGAAGAACTTTCATTTCTTTCTAAAGTATTGAAATATGAAATCACTGCTTTTAGTTAGAAATGGAAAGATATCCTTGAAACATGTACGCCTAAGACAAGAATCTGTACCATTGCTTAATTAAATTAATTTTACATAATGCTCCACATATGGCACCACTTAATAGGGAGATAAATTTAACAGTATCTAGGATTTTATCTACATACGCCATGATACATTAAACCTCTCCCCCTGTTCATGCAACCACCCCAAAAATAAAAATATACATTTCATGCTCTAGTTTGCCTCAAATTGGGTTGCAACATTTAGAATCTACATCCCCAAACTGAGTTACAAAAGTTCTCTGTATAACTTTTTCACTTGGTGACATTATACATTCTTCTGCATCAGCAACCTAATCGCGCTCCTGTAAATTTTACATCTTTCCTTCATAGTAACAAGTTACTTAAACTAAATTCTTAGCCCAATTATCATCAACAAATAAAAGTCATAAAACAACTTCTATAACACAAAAACACATTTTATAGCAATGGCCTAGAATAGAAGTTATTAAATTATTCAACAAATTGGCTCTAAAGTAAATTGAAAATTTTTACTGTACCTCCATCGAGAAGAGAATCAGCAAAGTTGCATTTTCTTGACAAATTTACAGACAGCTCACAGAACCCCAGAATAAAAGATCGTCAAATCTTTGATCTAGAAAAAAAAAAGTCTAGCACAGTTCAATTATGTAACCACCAGCATCCGATCAAATTGAAAAACCTAGTTAATTCAAATTCAAGAAATTGAAGAAACAAGAATATTAGACAAACCAAATGACCAAGATAATATTGAAACAGGTTGGGAAAGCAGTACCGGGAATAAAATCAGTTTGTAAAGATAGATATGAATGAGTTAACTCGGATCGGAAGTGAGTATGATGAGCGAGAAATTATTGGGAGGGCCTAGATTCTAGAGGGACTTGAAGGATAGAAATGAAGAAACAAACCCAAAAAAAGGAAAAAAGGAAGAAGGTAGAAACAAATAATGTTTTAATTTCTTTGTGGTCCACAACTTTTTAAATATTACAAACTAATGCCAATATTAGTAACTAATAGGAAATGAGGGGTAGTTTTGTGAATTAACTTATTATAGAAAAAAAATGAGTCCCTTTATATTTACGACACTTGACGTTGGAGGTTTTTTTATTTGAAAATAGAAAGACCAATGCAGGTAGAAGTCGAAATCAGCACTTCTCCTTATGCTTGTTGATTTGTACATACAAAAAAAATTGGGAAAAAGCAAATCATCCTCATTATTAATATTGAGTCACGTTACTCGTTACCGGAGGTTTCACCATACATGAAGTAAACACCAATTTTTTTTCTCACCTCTCATGCTACACATAACATTTGTCGAGGATCATGCTAAGGATCCTTAGCCTTAATTCAAGACTTCCCATTTGCATTCTCACTTGATCCATAATTTTAACTTACATCTTGTTTGCTTAATTCTTTCCATTCAATTGTATTATTTCCATTTTATTTTAATCATATCATATATGATTATGTAAATATGGATATAAATATGAAATCAACTCACCACTAGAAAGCGTAGTGTGATTTTCCAAAACTCTGGTATCAGAGCACTTTACGGATTAACCTCCCTCACACGATCCTATCTCCCTTTCCATAGATGCCGAACCCTCTTCCAATCTTCTCCCTTTCAATACCTTCATCCACATGGTTAAAATCAAACTATCCTCTTCTAGCTATCTTCTATGGAAAAGCTGTTTGCTTCCTTTTTTAGAAAGCCAAGTACTCATCGGCTATGTGGATGGAACTATAGAAACCCTACCCTATTTTGCCCCTGAAAATTCTCAGACATCAAATATCAAACATGTGCCATGGAAACAAACCGATCAATACCTCTTTAGCCTTTTGTTGTTCTCCCTCACCGAGGAGGCCATGGCAGAACTTGTGGGGCTTTCCACTTCAAGTGAAGTGTGGGTTGCCTTAGAGAATACCTTCAGCCACCGCTCCAAACATGTGAAATTCATCTCAAGGATGATTTGCAACTAATGAAAAGAGGCACCAGATCTGTTTAGGAGTACGCATGTGCCTTCAAGGCCATCTTCGATCAACTCCATGCAATCGAACAACCCGTTGATGCTACCGACAAAGTGCACTGGTTTCTTCGAGGCCTCGACTCGAAATTCTAGAGCTTCTCTACGGTCCAAATGGCCCTTACCCATTTGCCATGTTTTCCAGATCTTGTGCCAAAGGCAGAAAGCTTTGAGCTCTGAGCTCTTTCAAAAATCCTTGGAGCAGGATACACCATCTCCTGTGGCATTCACAACTACCAATCGCAACCCTACAAAGTTTAATCGGTGAAGCTCTTCTTCTTGCAACCAACACAATCGAACTGGTGGTCATAGACGAGGACAGCGATATTTCTCCAATAGGTGACCCTTATGCTGCAAATCGATTACGCTTAGGGTCACTATGTGGACTGATGTTAGTGAAGCACTTCTTCTTGCAACCAACACAGTCGAACTGGTGGTCATAGACGAGGACATGGATGTTTCTCCAATAGGTGACCCCCGTGCTACCAAATCTATTGCGCTTAGGGCCACTAGGTGGACCGATGTGAGCAATAGTATGAATGCCTTGGTCTACCTTTGAGGCTCGACTTGCTAAACCCTCAATTCTTCATGTTCCCTTTTCGAAAATAAAGCCTCATATTGGTTTTTAAACACAGGGGCCTTGGCCCATATGACACCAGCCCAACTTTCTTGGATCAGTCCACTACTTATACGAGGTAATGATTGTGTAATATTGTCAGAAATGGCCCCTAAGATTCGAGACCATTTTCAAATTTTAATGTTTTTAGGATATCGATCAAAGACTTCTAATCAAAATTAAATTTGAATAGAAACTGAACACGTGGTCAATGTTAGTGACTTCAATTTAAGATATATTTTTTCAGTCTTTAACCATTATATTACAAAAGAAAATAATAGGTTTGAATGGAAGTTAAGTAGCTTTTCTATGCTAAAAAACCTTTCTTCGATCTGTGATTGTCTGATCTCTTTGAATTAGGTGTTGGCGTAAATGAATCTTTTTACCTCAGACCAGGGTGAAAGATCATGAACCTAAATAGTTGGTCGAATCCTAACTTGGCGCCAAATCAAGGAGAGGGCTTTCTATAAACAAGGGAAAGGCTTTATAGGGTGGGAGTTTAGGATGGTTTTAAATGAGAGCCAATAGCTTTTTACTGTGGGTGCTATGATGATATTTTTTGGAGAATTGTGATTAAAAAGTAAAAAGAAAGAAAGAAATTGAATTTTAAGTGTAAAATTATTTAATGGAGAGAATATGTAATTAAAAATTAATTTCAGAAAAATTAAATTTTTAAAAAATAGGACTCAAACAAGGCTAAATGAATTTATTGAGAGAATATGTATTATAAGTGAAATTTCAGTATTTGAATATCTCTTCTTTGAAATGGCTTAAGCTGAGTTCATGCCCTCACACTATAGGCTAGGACGACGAGAAAATGTTAGAAGAGTTATTGTGACTGATTTTTGTTCTTGATATGTTGAGGTTTGATGTTTGCTTTGTTCTTGCAACAGGAAATGATTTTTACTCCATATTAGGGGGTTCTGAAGCTGGGCTTTCATACTAGGGAGCAATCTTTATGGTTGCACAAAATCAATCAGCATTTTATGGAGAACGAGCTTTCAAACCCGTGCTTCAACATATGGGATAAACTCGGTGAATATCTAGGACCAGATGTTTAAATGCCTCTGCTTCTGAAGATGGATGGATTGTTTGCATTTGGCATTATTCGTGATAGAGAATATATTTGCTTTAGCAAGTGGATTTTCACATCTTTCAAAAGATCGTAGGAAGCTGAAGCTAGTCTACGGGAACATTGATAGCATTATCAAGATCTCAATGTTTCATTTTTTGCTATCTTGGTTTGTTTCTCTCTTCCTCTGAACAAGGTATTAAGAAACATTGTATTTACTGTAGGGGTCCGTTTATTGCAAAAGGATGAAATTTTGGTGGAAAGAAAATGAATTTTAGGGAATTGAATTGCCTAGAAATTATTTTTCTGAAAATTGTTAATTTTTGTGTTTGATTGGTATAATTTTTCACGTGAAAAATGTTGAAATAAAATTATTTTTTGGGGTTCGTTTGATTTTGTTTTACATGAAAATTATCAATTAAAGGGATCAAATTTACTGGTATTAGGGATAGAATTTATTTTCTTTGTCAAAAAAAAAAATTTATCTATCTTTTGGTATTCATTTGACTTTATTTTACATGGAAATTGTCAATTAAAGGGAAATATTTTTTTACAATAATTCTTAAAATTTGTTTTCATTTCCAAAAAAAAAAAAAAAAGGTGAACAGTGGGTTGGAAAACCAAGAAAATACCAATTCCCAATACAACCAAGAAAATAAAATTCCATGGAAAATAAAACATATCAAATACACAAAATTGGAAAATAGTGAAATTCGAATTCCATTTTCCATGGAATTTGAACCAATCAAACAGACCCTAAGTGAATTGTGAAAAATGGCATAACTGTGAATGTATTGCTTTTCTTGGGTACAATATTACACACGCACACTCTCATTCAAGCATAGTTTTTAAAGGTCATGTATTTCTAAACTAAAACTATTCGTTTCGTTGTAATTTGTGAAAATCCTTCTCCAAGTGAGGAGTGCCATCACGCAACTTGATCTTGGTTTCCCAGCCTAGAAACTCCTTTTGGTTAGTTATGTCAGGTTTTATCTTGAGAGGATAGTCTCAAGTATTTTCACACTTATGATTTCGACTTTTGGATTGATCACCTATGAAGGCCCCATTATATATTAGCCAATGTTTGGCTCCCATTATCTCAAAACTCATTTTCAATTATACATTCTCTCATAAAATAATATTACACGTAAATAAAAAAAATTCCTTACTTTTTAACCCCACATTATCTAAAAATCACTATTTCAAAGTTTTTTTTTTTTTTTTCCAAAATTACATTTTAATGGTGCCCAAACAAGGGTTTAGTTTCACAAAACCATACAAGAACTGATCACTTGTGCCACACACATGAACAACTTTTTAGTTCCTAAACAAGCTTTTGAGAGTATTTAGTTAATTTTCTTACAAAACAATAAAAATCTATTAATTTCGAAGGAATGTACGAAGCTCTTATAAATTTATTAAGTAAGACTTGTCTAGTTCAAAAATTAAAATTATGAAAAATAGTCTAATTTTTGCATTCGAAAACTCAAAAATCGTATAATTGACTAATTGTAGTGATTATTAAGTAATATAGTATTTATAATTTTAGATGTTTGGTAGGTGTTATTTAATTATTAAATAATTTTTAGAATGATTAAAAATTAAAAATAAGAAACTTTTTTTTTTTTTTAACGCATAGACAAGCTTGTAAAGCTTGAAATTAGACATCCACACTTAGTCACAATTTACATTTTTTAGAACATTGTTTTGGGTAATTATATGTGCAGTTATGTCCCCTAACGATTTTTCATATCATTCCTATCCTCATACTTTTCATTTTTTAATGTATTTTGCATTTGGTAACAATTTTACATTCAAAAGTCTGTTGAAATGACGTAAACAACTTACTTTCCTATCCTATTTAAAAAAAAGCAAATAAATAAAAAATGTGAAAAAATATATTTACGTCATTTCAGAGCATGAAAATAAAATATTTTTATATAAATCATCATCAAGGACAAGACGTCCTAATTAATGGAATGTTGAAGATAAGAATTCGACAAAGAAAAAGTTGAAAAAATAATTGTTACAATGAGTAAAAATTTAAAAGTTTAACTACAATTAAATTATGATTTATCAAATAAAAATTGTCCATAGCTTTTGAGTAAATTTTAATCCCGTCGTCAATTTTGCCCTCCACTTAACTGAATTCATTTTTTTGACTAAGATTCATTGGCACTTGCTTGGTAAATACATGGCAGCCTTTTTTTAACAAATTGGCAATTTTATCATCCACTGACTTTGGCCGAATCCTAAATAAGGACTAAATGACTTAATACATTTTTTGACTAAGATTGATGTATTCTAACCATGAGATTAAGAGCTCTTAGTCTCACGGTTAGAATAGATTGGTGAGCAACGACACCAGCCGCTTTTGTTCTAAGCATGAGATTAAGCTTAATCTCACGGTTAGAATTAATCTTACGGTTAGAACAAAAGCGACTAGTGCAGTTGCTTACCGAATCTATTATAACCGTGAGATTAAGACACTACGAAAAATAATCTATTTCACGACAAAAAAAGGTTGTCACAAAAATTGGAATTTTGTTGCAAAAGTAATTTAACGACAACTAGATGCCTATTGCGAGAATTGTCGAGTTATATTCTGTGACAAGTTTTGCTCATTCTTTTGTTCATTCATCGCATTAATAAATTCGCAACATTATTTGTTTGACACGGAAAGTATGAAATACCAACAAAATTTTTGTCACCATAATGTCGTCGCAACTTATATTTGTCGCAAAAAAAATTAAAAAGGCAACGAGTCAATTTATCACGATGATTATTCGATAAAGTTTTTGCAAGAAAAAAATTTGCTGCAAATATTATTTTAAATGTATAACTTTTGTTTCCTATTCTATTTTGTAACAGCACATGCTCGTAGTGATATATCTTTAATAAAAAGTCATGTTTATTGCGTAATATGATTTAAAATGTGAGTGATATGTTGCATAATATATTTTAAGATATTTAACATTTGTTGTAAAATTTATTATGTAACAATTGACGTTTGTAATTAAATTTATTTCACAACACCAGAAGTTTGTCGCATCATTATTTGTGCAACGATGTGTGATTGTTACAACATACAAAATAATTGCATAAATTATTTTGTAGCAATAGATATTTATTTATATGACAAGTTGTGCTTGTAGTTAAATTTATTTCACGACAAAAAAGGTTTGTTGCTTCAACGATGTACAATCGTTGCCTAAAATACTTCATCATTATTTATGTATGTCGTGGATTCTATTTTAAACGCATAATTTCCAATTTCTTGCATTGCAATATAATTGTATCTATAGTACACATTGATATGAAAATGTAACCTACATTTTTAACAACAACTACCAACTTTATACAAAGACTGCTTCAATGTACAATTATTAAATATGATTGCAAAACATATTAAAAAAATTCATATTATTGTCAACCAAATAGATATAGACCAAAGTATCATTTGGAATCTCTTATTAACTACTAAACCTTGTATAAACTATGTAAAAACCTTCAAGTGTTGAAGCCTTACATAAACAAAAATTGCTTATCACCTTGAAATTCTCAACTATGCAAACTAATTGAACAATTCTTTCCACGCCCCTAAAGCCCTACATCAACAAAAGTCAACAAAAATTGCTAATTGGCTTGAAATTTTCAACTATGCAAAATTTTAAGTGCATATTTAGAACATCAAAGTGCGAAGAAAAGAAAGACGAAAATTACCAGCATTCTTTGGACGGTTTCGCAAGTTGCCTTAAGCATGATTCTGTATTAAATCAATGAGTTTTTTTATCTTCTTCAAGGGTCCAAAGCCCCTTCTTGAGTCCATTTTCTAACATGATGTACATAAAATTAGATTGACCCATCATGGATTGACCAAATTGATACAGTACATAATTTTGAGCTTTGTGCAATTTGACACTAGGATTTGTATTCCCTAATAGAAATAAAATTGGTTATAAACAAAGAGCCATTACAATTTTTAGCATTTCTTCCTTCAAATACAGATCATAAAAAAATCAATAAAAATAGAGACAAATTATCTTGTGGAACGAGAAAAAGTAAGAAATGCATCACGTTGAAGATGATATCGGAATATACATTGTCAAACAAATGAATAGAATCGGCAGTCGTAATCTCACATTGCCTTTGCATTTAAACCATATCCGAAAACATCTGAGATTAGAGGCTCTTAATCTCACATTTAGAATAGAATCGGCAGTTGTAATCTCACAGTCAGAATAGAAGAGGCAATTGAACCGCTTAATTGTTGCTCTAACCGTCGGATTAAGAGCATATATAATCTAAACATGTAGATTGATTCATAGCTAAGCATAAATCGAGAGGCAGTATGACTTCTCATTTTGATAACCATCATCCATCTTTAACCTCAGCATGTTCAGTCACTGCCTCTCTCACCGGATCATCTCTCAGTTACGTACAATCACCTCAAATTTTAGCTTGCAATCATTTAATTGCTCACATGTTCTCATTTTCCCAACCACATTTTTTTTTGTTAGAAATTCTTCTTGGTTCATACATGAATTTACTAGTAAAATCTGATGTATTATAATCTTGATTAGCTGTAGGGATCAAAAGCTAGAAAGAGAAATGGGGCAGACATTCACCTGGGTTTTCTCCAAGAAGGAAGTGAGCATTCTAATGGTTGGTCTTGATGCTGCTAGTAAGACCACCATCCTGAACAAGCTTAAGCTTGGAGAGATCTTAACTACCTCTCGTACCATGGGTATATACATTCATGCAAACTTAGCAACTCTGTTTCTTTCAGTTACTCTCACCGAACTCTTTTTGATATTTATCATATGCAGGATTTAAAGTTGAGGCTTTTGAGAACAACAACATCAACTTCACTATTTGGGATTTCGGTGGTGATGACAAGGTGGGAACTTTTGTTTTAACAATCTATAACCATTTCTTTATATGAGGTTGAGTTCTGTGATTCTGAGCATGGAAAAACTTTCGCATTTCACATATCCGTCCATTGTGGAGGCACTACTTCCAAAACACCCAGGGAATCATATTTGTGGTTGACAGCAATGACAGGGATCGTATTGTGGAGGTAAGGGATGAACTGCACAAGATGTTGAATGAGGTAAATTTCCTATCTTTAACTGTTAGTCTTTGGAAATCCTAAAAATTTCCATCTTTTCGATTTTATATCCCAATAATATAGTAGACTTACAGTTGATTAAATTAATCTTAACTTCAATTCAATATAGAAATGGTCTGTCTTGTTTTTGTTATTTATTCTTTTAATTATATGAAAACAATAAAAGATAATTTTGATAATCATATAAGGGGAATTTACACAAATGTCACTAAATATGAAAATGCACAAAAAATTTTGTCTTGCACAATTTTTTTGCAAAAATGTCACTTTTTCCCCACAGAATGTCAATATTACCCTTTGACACCTTTTTAGGAGCAATAAATGCTTGATTTGAATACTATTAATGGTGTGATGTGATTATTTATTTATCTTTATTGTTAATATTGAAGAAATGAATATTATATTGTATAATATGAATTTTTGATTAAAAAAATGGGTGAAATGTGTACAAAGAGCACACACAAGTAGGAGTTGAAATAGCTTTTTCTTCTTCATCATCCCCCTTCATTATCAATAAGGCATGAAGGAAAGCTATTGATCAATTTCAAAGGTGAGGTAGTAGAAAAGAAATTTTTGCATGCCATACTTGAGTACTTTAAATATTCAATAAAACATGGTCAGAATTAATTGTCCATACTTCATCTCTTATTCATTAATTTTTTATTCTTGGTATATTTTAGAAAGGGAAGAAATACCATATTCTCAACAAAATGTGAATCATTTCATATGTAATTCTATATTTAATGAAGCATTGAGTTATACTTTCTTTGTGTGTGGGGAAATCAGTTGAAGTTGTAGTTGAGAATTGATTATGACCATTAATGTGTTGCAATAAATTCCTGAAACAGTAAAACACATTTTTTTTGTAGGTTCCCCGAAACTTATGCCGTTCAAGTGTTGAACAGTTTCGTAGAAACTGTCGGGTTAGACATTTGAACTGTCGAAATCGACATTTAGTAACTGTCAGGATGGGCAGAGAATTCAATCGTCGATTTTGACACCTGAAAAGCTTTCTCTTTTTGGTACTACATGGATCAAAGTATTGTAATGAGCCAATTGGACTGTATTAAATCTTTCGACATAAATGTGCAGAATTATGACTTTTGTACTCCCAACATTTCAGGTATGGCTCAAGATCTGAGACTTATCGTATTGCATGGGGGGAACTTTGTTCACGTGGATGACGAATGGAAGTGGAGAGGGGACAAAACGACTTCCATTTTAGCGCCGAGAAACATTACCGTAACAGAACTTATATTAAGATTGAAGGAGAAACTTGGTATTGTTGAACCCCGCAATGAAATTGAGTTGAAGTTCAAAGTCCCGAATTTGAATATACCTCCGGCAGAGATACACGACGATGAGGACCTAAATTGGTACATATCTATTTATAAGGAGATTGCACTCTGCGTCACTATTATGGAAATCGAGGTCCCCAGTGTTGACATGGCGAGGGAAGCAAACTATGTAGAGAACCGGTTTGGCCTAACGGAATGTCCCCAGACTTTAAGACATGGTGAGGTCAATCATGAGCACAATGGGTCGAACAACGAAGCACCCGCACCTTCACTTGACCATATCGAGGCTGCAGCATCCGTTGAGCACTTAGAGAACCTGTTACATGGTACGAATGATGCTATTATTGCTGAAATTGACCAGCCAGTGTCATCACATTCCATGAGTTTAGGCACAGATGAGTGGATGACAGCCGTCGTTCTCGCCGAAAAGCAAATATTCTTTAGCAAGAAACAATTGTACTCGAAGATTCGTATGCTTGCTTTGCAAGAAAAGTTTCAATTTCGGGTGAGCAGGTCAAGCATGAAAATGTTAACCGTTGTATGTGTGGATGATAATTGCAAGTGGATGCTACGTACTTCTACTGTCAAGCAATCTGCAATCTTCATGATCCGTAAATTCATCAACGTGCACACATGTTCCCTTGATTTTCGTCGTAACGCACATCGACATGTCACTAGTTCTGTAATTGCCGAGCACATTTTAGGCAAACTGGATCCTCCAGGTCGATCGTATGACCCTACCGCTATTGCACGTGATATGGAACGTGAGTTTGGTGTGAAAATCAGTTACAACAAAGCTCGTAGGGGAAAGCTTCATGCCTTAACTATGCTACACGGTACACCGGAAGCCAGTTTTCAGAAATTATCTTCATACTACCACGTCGTAGGAGAGAGTAACCCGGGGACAGTAACCCACATAGAACTCGATTCTCAAAATAGATTTCATTACTTCTTCCTAGCTTTCGGTGCAAGTATTCGTGGTTACACGTAGTACTTGAGACCCGTTATTTGTGTTGATGGCAGTCATCTGAAGGGTCCATACAAAGGGACACTTCTACTGGCAACTGCCCAAGATGGTAACAAACATATATATCCGTTAGCATGGGGGATCGTGGATGCTGAAACCAATAAATCCTGGAAGTGGTTTATGTCCAACTTGAAAGAGCTTATAAGGGACTCTGAGGACCTCATATTTGTTTCAGACAGAAAAAAGAGCATTGACAAAGCTATTACTCAATTGTTTCCATTATATCACCATGGTTGTTGTATCTGGCATCTCGAAAAGAACCTAATACAGCGGTACAGCAATGCAAGTGTAATACTTCTATTCAAACGAGCTGCTATGACATATCGGGTTGAGGACTTTGAAAGACTCATGGGACAGATCCGCAGGGTGAGCACAAGAGCGCACGGGTACTTAGAGCGTGCGGGTTATTCATTTTGGTCCCGAGCACTATTTATTAGCCACCGTTACAACATCATGACGAACAACAACGCTGAGTCTCTGAACTCCATGTTGAGAGAAGCCCGTTCTTTACTAATAACTTGCTTGGTCGAACACATTCGGAGTACTTTGCAGAAGTGGTTTTATGAACGTCAGAAAAATGCGACCAAATGCAGTACAGTATTGACGCCGAGGATGGAAAACGAGTTACGGATGGCATTTGAAACTGGAACTAGGCTTCGAGCCCAGTTGTTGACAAACAACTTAACTCAGGTTGAAATATCCAACGACGTGGACATAGTTGACTTTTTCAAAGACACCTGCACGTGTCGTGAGTTCCAACTAAACCGTATGCCATGTGCTCATGCAACTCGTACTGCTTGCTTCAAAGGAAAGTCATTGTATGACCTTTGCTCCCCTTATTACACATCTAAATACTGGAGGGGTGCCTATAGCGAAGCTATATATCCTATTGGATGTGAAGCGGACTGGGTTGTTCCCAGTTTAATTACATTTACTCCTATTTTTCCACCACTTGTACGTCGCCCTCCAGGTAGACCACCGACCCGACGTAAGCATTCAAGACACGAGTCTGCATGGTCGAGCAGGAAATGCACTCGTTGTGGTCGTCTTGGTCATAATCGGAGCACATGTTCGAACCCCAATGTATCACAAGTTCCTTAAACGTTGTTAATGTAATCGACGTTGTATGTTCAATGTTCCGTAGTGCCCTGCACCTTATGAAGTTATATTATAAATAGTGTGATAATTACCATTTCTGGATGTTCGGTATCCTTCTTTACACATAAGAGTTTGTTTCCCGACTGTCCTGTTCATCACGTACGCACATCCCGACAGATGTGTTCTAGATTTCCGACAGTTGACGAATGTGTGCACAACACTCAAGATCAGTTTCACGTACATGGCAAACTGTAGATTCTATGAAAGGAAAACAATGTAACTGTAACATGCTTGAAACAAAGTCTTTAAACACATACAACTAACCCTCCAAGTGCACCGTCAATCAAAATACTTGAAGGTAGTAGGCAAATGGAATTGTAAATTGGGACGTTTTCCTTCTCTTGTTGGACTGCGCGCATCATGAACCCCATTTAAAACATTTAAGTTCAATATCCATGAAGTATATTATAATTTGTAACATCATCCTCCACGGAGAGAAATCAACTCTAAATAAATAGCATTTCATAACATCCACCAAACGTGGTGCAAAATATAGATGTAGGTTAATTTGTCGATCCCAACAGATAGAAATCTGTAATTCTCGACAGTTTGACTAGACTAGACTATACACAAAATACACTACCCGGATTACGGCGAAGGGACATGTTCATGCAGACATTTTGGTTCTGTGTTAATCAACTGCATCCCTACAAAAGAGTGGACTGTACACTACTTATTCACTACATTCCACGGCCATCATTTCATTCGTCGTCGACAACCGAACTTGCTCCCCCGCTGTCTTAACCTGACTCGTCAGACGAGATGATAATGATCTCGTTCTCTAGGACGTATGCCAGCCCATCGTCATCCTCGGAATCCCCCTCGTAGGCAGCATCGACCGAGAGCACAGCATCAAACACATCGTTCTGTGACAAACCATCGTCACTCCCAATATTTTCCAAGTTTGGGAAGGGAACAGGGGAAATGGCTTTCCTACCCGTACGAAGCTCAATTTTGTCATCGTTTGATGAAATGTAGATTGGAAATAATGGAGAGGAACTGGGAACCGGCATCGGCTCATCCATGTTAAACGGTTCGATGCTTCCTATGGACGAACTCATTATGCTTATATAGTAAAGTATTGCTGAAACGAAATCTGTCAATTTAGGTTCTGACTGTTCACGTAATATAAGACATAAACAAGGTATCCGGCTTGTAACAGTAGAACCAAATGTCATGACAAGTGGACACAGACTATGTCATAACTAACGGCAAGGCAAAATGTGGGACGCTTGTCAAAATTCCAACGCACATGTCAAATGAAAAAGTAAAGCGTCAATGTTAGAATAAACGTAAAAGCAAGTGATTAGTTGTTCAAGTCTACTATGTTCACCATCTGCACGCCTCGACAGGTAAGCGAAAACCAAAAGCAACCCCATCGTCCTGACATCCCGCCACTTCAGTCACAATTACTTCTTTAATGTCTTTTCCCTCCCCCTCGTGTACGGAGTCCTCGTGGCAGGAGCAGGACGTCATAGCCAGGCGGAGCCGTCTCGTCA